AAAATGCAGAATCGCTCACTTATTTGTTTGCTGCTTTTTACAAGGGTTAAAAACAATTGGGTTTTTGTCAATTTTCTTTTATTTTTTAAGTGAAAATAGGTTGATGTGTACATAGATAAAGCCAAGGGTGTGTGCAGTGCCATTTTTGTGCAATTGTGGGATTTTTTTTTAAAGTGAAAATAGGTCGATGTGCACATGGATGCCGAGTATGTGCAATTCTTAAAAACGCGTCAAGCAGTGGGTGATTCTGCACTTTACCCGAAATTCTATTGCCGACTTTTCGTCATAGGCAATTCCCAAATTGTTAAATCCATAGGATATTAAAAAGGGATTTAAAAAATAAACTAGTAGATTAGTATTTCAATGCGTCTAAAGAAATATAGAACTATGTAAACTTGCGCAATCTGAAATCAGCGTGTACGCTAGATTTGGCGCGCTGTTAAGTGAGCGCGTTTGCTAGATTTGGCACTTTTGCGCATACATTTTCGCTGCAATTTTTTATGATCCTCAAAATGGAAATACAGTCAAAAGTCATTAATTTGGAATGATCTATAATCCCATAATATGGAATGATCTATAATCCGGACCTCAAAGCTACAAACTTTCTACGCATGCACATAGGCATTTACGCATGCACGTAAGACCTTTACGGCTGCGAATATGTGCATGCCCATAATATGTTTACGCTTGCGCGTTTAATGTATAACGGACGGTATAAGCTAAGCTAAAATTATCTAATTCAGTTAATGTTGCAGATTGCGTTGTTCCTTAATCTTCGAATTGGATCCGGCTTATTATTTTTTGCAGTCTGTTAGAGCAATTTTATAAAAGTAAGCTTGATTATGTCAAATAGAATTTTCGATATATACTTACTAATATGTAAAGGATCTACAAAGCGAAAGTATGTTTCGAAATCCGAAATCTGTTTATCAATAATTCAGCAGCCAGGGGGGGGGGAGGAGAACGCTGCGGCGCGCAATGAATCGCAAGTTGATCTGTTTTGTTGTCCTTATCTTCAGGGCGGATGTTCTTTTTATTTTATTTGGCTTATAATTCCTTACTAAATGTAGTATTTCATCTCGATGTACTCCGTCTTTGATATGATTTAAATCAAATTCCTCATCATTATGATTTGCTTCCAATAGTGAAGAAAGTGACACAGAGGTTATTGAAAACGAAAAAATTTCGACTGACAAATTAGTCGGTATTCTCGACACAGCAATTATAGGACTTGAACAGCGGAACTTTGTAATTGAAGAAGAAATTCTGTCTGTTTATAGAATTAAAGAGAAAGTATTATCACATAAAACAAAGCATCTTAAACAACTTACATTGAAAGATATGTTTAATAAAGTAAACAAGTAAATATTAAGCTTTTTTTTTTTTTTTTTTTTTTTTTTTTTTTTGTAAATTTTGCTACCCTTTAGATCATAATTGTTCTTTATTTCATAAATTACGGTTTCATATTTTTAATTTTGTAATTTTTGCATGCCATCTTACCAGATTTAAACTGATGATCTATAATCCGGAAAAATCGATAATCCGGAATCGCCGAAGTCCAGACAAGTCCGGATTAACGACTTTTGACTGTAGTACCCAATTATTAATATTGTTGAGGAATTGCCTTGCTTTGACTCCAATTTACTTTTACTTTAGATGTGTTAAGTGTATATATATGCATGTGTGCAAAATACATTTAGATAATTTCATTCCGTTTTTATTTATGAAGTAAAAAAAATTAAGACATTTTTGCTCATTAAAAAAAAAGGTGCATGAATGATTTTAAACTTAATCATTTGTAAGAATAATTATAGTTCTTAAGAAAACAGATTGAAGATGAATTTTTTTTTTGTAGCACATAAGAGCCATTTTTTCATGACCGAGTTCTATCTTTCTCTTATTTCATGCAATACCTTGAAATATAAAAACTTTTCCTATCTAATGAAAGGAAATACAGAAAAATTCTGAAGATGCCCATCAATAATTAAACATGATTTAAAAATTAATAGCAGCTTAATAAAAAAAGAAGCCAGAGATAAAAGGTTCTTATATAATAATCACAGAACTTCATTCCAGCATTTCATAAATCAATATATTTCATTTAAGTTTTAAACAATGAAAAAAATGTACAACAGTTACTATATATGCATATCCAACAGTGAGATAATATCTAAGCATCCAGATTATTTCTCATGCCATAATTCTGCAGCATACCACATGCATTTAATCATGAGAATTCAAAACATACTACTGCTTTAACAGGCAGCTTACCCTTTTTTGCCAAATCTGTATATTATTATAGGCATGGAATTCTAAATGTAACAGACAGCAGATCTTGATATGCTCAAAGTAAACTATAGCGTTGAAAATGTAAATAAAACAAAGAAGATTTTATTCATAAAAATTTTAAGCTTTATGAATTAAACAAGCAAACTTTTAACATAATATGTATTTAATAATCACAAAATTTTCAATATGCATCCCTTATTTCTATTACTAAAAATTGCCTCAGAAAAAACACTAAAAATGTCAATTTGAATATTACAGATTTATTAAGTTGCAATGTCTTCATGAGAAACAATTAAATTACTTATATTCAATCCAGTTGTTTCATCTAAAGATGGAATCTGTAACTTGATGCAGTGTCCCATCTTCCCCCCTCCCCATAAACATTCCGAAATATGTTTATCAATTTCACGCTGCTCTGCGGGGGGAAGGACGTGGCGCACAATGAACTGGAAGTTGATCTGTCAGCACTATCCTTATCTTCAGGGCAGATGTTGTTATTTTATTTGGCTTATAATTCCTTACTAAATGTAGTATTTCATCTCAATGTGCTCTGTCTTTGATATGATTTAAATCAAATTCCTCGTCATTATAAATATCATGAATACACATCAAGTAGTTTTCTGGTTGCAATTTTCTAATTTCGACTATGCGTAATGTATGCTTTACGCATGTGCGCGTTGAAAGAAATGTTTAATAAAGTAAACAAATAAATATAAAGCTTTTTTTTTTGTAAATTTTGATACCCTTTAGATCATAATTGCTCTTTATTTCATAAATTACGGTTTCATATTTTTAATTTTATAATTTCTGTATGCCATCTTACCAGCTTACCAGATTTAAACCGGTGATCTATAATCGAATCACCGAAGTCCCGACGAGTCCGGATTAAAGACTTTTGACTGTATTAGGAGTACAAATAAATCTCCATTGTTAAAAAAAAAAAAAAAAAAAAAAAAAAAAAAAAAAAAAAAAAAAAAAAGGTGCTACCAGTAAGTTATGGTTAACATTGTCTGATGTAAAACATCATATCATGAGGTTGGACATTGCTAACAACAACATAACCTTGAAACATTAGTGATTTTGTATCAGCATCATATATTTTTCACTTGAGAGAATGTCGAGTTTTGAGCCAAATGAGTGTCATTTGTGAGAACTTTTGATTTTACTTCTTTAAATTGAAGAAATATGCAGCTGAGATGCTTTGGTTGCTCGCAGAAGCAAATGCTGAGGCTGGTTTAAGTGAGAGAAGTTGTCGTGAGTGGCTTCAAAAGTTTAAGAACCCAGAATTTGACATCAAAAGCAAAGAACATAGGGAAAGGATGAAAGTGTACGAAGACGCAAATTGGGATTAAGATTCGTGCCATATACAAGTAGAACTTGTGTGTGAGGAGCTTAGGAGTGACTCAACAAGCAATTTGCCATCGTTTAAAATCATTAAAAATGTTTCAAAAGCAAGGAAATTGGGTTCCATATGAATTAGAGTTGAGAAACGTTGAATGCCGATTTTTTACATGTGAAATGCTGCTTGTCAGGCATAAACGAAAAGGTTTTTTTTTGCATCATATAATCACTGGCTATGAAAAATGGATTCATTACAATAACCCAAAGGGGAGGAAATAATGAGGACCACCTGGCCATGCTTCAATATTGACAACCAAGATGAATATTCATGAAAAGAAATCATGTTGTGTATACAAAGGGATCAACTTGATATCATGTATTACGAGTTGCTCATATCAAACAAAACCATTACTGGGCCTCTGCTGAACACAGTTGATGAGATTGAGCTGAGGACTGAAAGAAAAATGCAGCCACTCCTACTCTAGACATAATAAAGTTATTCTCCTGCAAGATAATGCTCTTCCACATGTTGTGGCACTGGTCGAAACCAACTTGGAAGCATTCAAATGAAAAGTTTTCTCTCTCTTGTTGCATTCATTATACATTACTCCTGATTATTACTTATTCTGATCGATAATGCATGGCCTGTCTCAACAACATTTCACATCATATGAAGATACCAAAAATTGAATTGATTTGTGGCTAGTCTTGAAAGATGAAGTGTTCTTTCGACGTTGTATCTGTATTCTGCCAGAAAGATGGGAAAAAGTAGTGGCTAGCAATGGACAATTCTTTGAATAAAACATACAGTTCTTTCACAATACATGAGCATATTTTGATTTAAAAAAATGGAGACTTATTTCTACTCTTGATAGTAAAAAAGTCTGTTAAAAGTACATAATATAATTCTATGTGGATGTTATCTTCTAATGAGGATTTCTTATTATCTGGCACTCAACTGCTATTTTCAATTCATCTAATGAAAAAAGAGCTGTAAAAATAGCATGAGTGTCACTTAAGCTGTTTAACTTTTGCTCATCTCCTCTAATTTCTTTCTTAATTGGTTTTGACATTTTGAAGGCAAAAAGCTCTTTTTCTTTTTATTTCTTTATTTAGGTGTTATAATAAATCTCTATTAAACAGATGCCACACAAGAAATGTAAAATTTACAAAAAAAAAAAAAAAAAAATTCATAAATGATTTTAAAACACCAATACAGTAAAAAATATTACATAAAATTTAAATTATCTGTGATGAAGTTATTTTAAATATCAAAAACATAAAAAGCTGAATGTAATAATATGCGAATAGAAAAATTAAATGCCAATCTTAAAGAAAAAATTATTTAGAAAGGAAAAGAAATGCTTTACCTTTCAAACGTATATTTGTTTTCCACCATGAAGAAATATTCATGATTCTTAAACTGGAGTTTGAAAATAGTGTCTCCAACTACTGGATCACTGTTAGAAGTACTCAAAATCTTGTACCCAGCAAGAGGAAGACTGGCCAATGGACTTTCATCCTTTAGGAATCACATAAATGGATACAAACTTATATTTAAAAATTAAAATTTTTATTATTAAAATTTTGAACACAAAATAAGAAAATCATCAATTTTTTTTTTTTAAATTTAAAAGTACTTAATGCCACCTAGTAACACTATCCAGTCAATTACCCCTCAAAACAAAGTTATTTTCAAATGATTTTGACAGAAGATGAAGAAAATTCTCTATGAATCAACCAGTAATATTAGATCGACAGAAGAAAAGTGAATGCTAGATTCAGCAAACTGAATGCTAGATATTTTTCAGTCAGCGTTCGCTCCCTTATGAAAAAATTCACATGGCCTAAATTTCTATAGCCTCTACAGAAATTTCTTTAGAACTGAAATGATAACGATTCTGCAAAAGTGTTTTCCTATAAAACTTTACAAAAATACTATAAAACATCTCTAGAATAACAATATACAAAACTACAAAATTAATAGTTGGAAATATTTCATAAATTTTTCTGCATTAGAGTTAAAAGGCAAGTTCTGTACTGTAACTGCAGGAACATATAAATATTCATACATCCAAAGCATTAGCACTTTGGGAACAAAAGGGAATAGATACTTAATAGTTTGAAAATAAATATGTATACTGCTTGTAAATATTACATGGTAATGCTTTCCTAATTTTGATTTTGTGCAATATTTAGTGCCAGAGATCTGTATTGTTGCTGAGACAGCTTAATAATAACACATGCACACCAAAATCAACACACATAACTATGAATTTATAGCACATATACCTGAAAAAATGAGAAATTCTTTGTATTCAGAAAGATTCACTCTCAGACTGACCTGAATTTAAAAGTCCAAAAAGGTTAAATAAAGTTAAGCAAAATAAATAAATAAAAATTTTGATTTATTGATTTTTTTTAATATGAAGAAATACAGTTAAATGTGACATTCTTCCTGCTTTGTGTTAATTTAGAAGCATAACAATTTTATATAAGACAAAAATTTACACATAAAATTACATTTGAACGATTTTTGGTAGTAGTAATATAAGCATCTTATCTGTATGAACTTTGTAAGTGATCACACAACAGAAAATCAATGAAAAACTGTAAATTTTGGATAAAATCTACACGTATGCAATTTGTTTAACTTCACAGCAGAAAAACAGAAAATAATAACTATCTTCTCTCAGTTTACAACTCAAAGAGAGAAGGGGGAAAAAAAAAAAAAAACTAAGCATTTCTTACTAAGTTAATAGGTGGAAATTAGAAATTAATTCTACTACCTGCTGCTGTGTAATATCTCACATTTTTAAATTATGAAAGCAAGCGTTCAAACATGAATTTTAATTAATTAATCTTCATTGAATTCACTCAGCACATGTACATAAATTCTCACTGAAGACTTTTCGCTGCTGTTTTTTGATAGCATTCTGCAAGGGAAGGAGGCTTCATAGAGCTCAAAACAACAGAAAATGTTTCGATTAACTTCATTTCAAAGCAAGTATCTTCACTTACCAAAGAACGATGTTTTTTGATTAACGATTTGTTCTGCTATTGTGTGCACATGTCATGGCGCTGTCATCTAAAGAATAAGTAGATGTAATTTAATGCAGTTACTTTATATTTACAAAACAACCTATCAAGAAAAAAATCAGCAGCACTGAGTTTTCTGTGTTCAGTATTTCGTCAAAAGTATATTTAACACATTTTTATGAACATACATGTGTCTTATGAATATGTATCAGTTGGCTATGAACAGAACTCTCAAGGACTGTAAAAATGATGGTGCAATCTGTGTTGTCACTTTCGAAATACATCTCATTATCAGGAAAATGAATTTAGTACCTCATAAAAAAAAGAAATAAAGTAATCACATAATTCATAAGTCAAACAACAAAAGTCAGCATTAATTTTCAAGATTTTCACAGGACTAGTTTTGATGGTTTTACCGAACCACCATCCTCAGCTGCAAAACTGCAAATGAACAAGATAGGAAATAATGATTAGATAAGATAAGAAAGCCTGGACAAGAATAAGCAAGTGGCACCATCTGTTGGTGAAACTAGAACTAAAACATAATTTCTTTAAAGGCCAAAGGCAAAGATGGATTGTAATTAAGATCGTTAACAAGAACAGAAAGATTTTTCTGAATGTGAAATGCCTCTAGAAAATCCAGTTCTCCAATAGAAGATGTTTTTTTGAATAATTTTGGCAGCAGAAAAATTGAAAGTGTGATTTTCGGACCAACAATGTTGAGCAACAGAAGACTTCTGTGTTTCCTTTTTTCTAAATTATGCCTCATGTTCCTTGATGTGAAATTTTAAGGCTCTCTTAGTTTGGCCAATGTAAATTAAACCACACTGGCAAGGAATCCTATAAATACCCCAAGAATTCATATCCGGAATGGGGTCCTTGAGTATGGAACTCGGAATTTTATTGATGGGAGAATAAACAACCCGAAAGTTAAATTTCTGCAAAATATGTGCAACTTTATAGCTAATTTGATGGAAAGAAGGGAATGACAACAGAATTTTTATAATCTCCTAAAACAATCACATGTGAAAGTGGTCTTATTGTCTGATGTTTGTCTTGTAAGCAGTATAAAATTATATAGAGTAAGTACAATTTTTATTCTGATTTGATAGTAATAGATTAAAAGATAATATTTATCATACTTTTAAAATTGGGTTATTGAATACTACACAATGCAATGTATTTTTATTTTTTAAGATCACATGCTGACTGGGAACAAACAGTAATCTTGCATCATTAATTAATTTTGGATAATACCATAACATTTGATGCTTATAACACAACATTTCTTCATTATAACATAAATATACACAGATAACTAGACATTCACTTGTGTTCTGAGAATTCAAAGTGGGTTTCCTGCTAAATTTTGCTCAATTTCTATACAAGCTTTGCAGAAAATTCTCTAAAGTGCTTGAAACAGTCCACAGAAAACTGGAAATATTTCTGAAGAACCCCCCTTTTATCATATATATGGAATTTTGTAAGCATTGATTTATTCTCAGAGACTTTTTGAATGTCTCTGTTCTCACATATTCTGATTTACAGGACAAATTTCACAGCAAAAAGTACTGAGGTTCAGTTTTCAGATAACTTATAGTTTCAGTAATACTGTAACAATTTTCTATTTTTGCACATTGATTTTTTAAATTTCACAGTTTTAAAGATTTTACAAAAGTTAAAATTTTTATCTCTGGTGTAGTCATTTAATGCAGATTATGATTCAATTTCTTAATGGGAAAACAGGTAAAATAATTATTTATTTAGGTTACAAACTTTTATTAAAGAAATATTTTAAATCTATTATTTGTTATTTAAAATTCATTGCATCATACATGATTCAAACAGAATTATTAGATAACATAATTTACTACAACAGTTATTCCAATAATAAAATTTTAATATTCATTTTTTGAACTTTTTAGATGAAATACTATATTTATCATAGCATACTTTTGATTTTGCAATCTGCATTAAGCTATTAACATAGAAAGTTAATAATTATATTGATCAGTTTCATAAATCTGGTAATCAAAATCAATAACAAACATAAATCAGAAGTAGACCTTACCAAATATGTATTATATAAAAATAAACACAGGTTTGCAAGAACGACCCACAATTTCTGCCATCCACTATTATTTTTGAACTTTCGCAGCAGATAACCACTAAGACTGTGCTGAAAAAGAACAGTGTAAATACATTTATTAGTATTATTAATGCATACTTATTTATAATAAGGCACATACATTAATCGTTATAATTGAAACCTCCCAGGTGAACCTTTTAGTAAAATTGAATGCAAATTAACTGATATTGTTATGTGCATGCAGGTTTCTATTGGACTGAATGCACACAGAATTGAAGAGCCCAGGTTTGAATCCCAGAAAAGACATAGACCTTTGTAAGTATACAGTGTCTGCATGGCAAGGAGACACTCAGAATATATGGCTAGCTGAAATCCTTTTGAGAGATTGACGGTACAGGGAGAGGGATGGGAGACCCATCAAACCAAATCATGGGGTGTTTTCTTTTGGAATTTCAAACTGAAGCAAAGCTTAACAGTTAGCTAGGTACAGCAACAGCTTCATCACTTATGATACCACAAAGATGCTGGCCTAGCTTTTACCTACACCTGTTACTGACATCCTGAAAGCTGTGAAGGTTTAAATTGTAAGCACAAATTTTAAATAGAAAGATTGTTAACATTTCTTTCTGTTTACATAGTTAATTTCACAGATGGAGCAATAATCTAGCTAACTATCTTAGTAGAGTTGAGGAATACTAGTTATTTACAGAGAGAAATTCTTAAAGGTTGATGGCTAAAATTTGAGAATATTTTTAGATTTAATATATATATATATATATATATATATATAAACTTTTGCGATCTATTTTGCATCCATCACTTTTTCAAACTCAGATTAGCTGTCTAATCTATCTGATTAGAAATAAAGAGAATGTGGCACAGTTGTGACGAGGATAGGGTCATAGGTCACATATGAAAGGAGATACAGAATTAAAACATGATGCATTAAATATTAAATGCAAAATGCTAAAACAGTATTTGGAAGGCACAATTTTGATATCAGCATTAAGTGTTAAAAGTTTGCCAACACAATTCTGGATAGTACAATCAGTTATATATTACAAATGAATCTTTTTCAGATAGTTGATGTTTGTGTATAAAACATTGGAAACACAAAAAAAAGATGATTATTTTCAAATAAATAAAACCAGAAGGAGGGGGCAAAGCTCAAAATGGTTAGCAAAATAAACCATTACAAAACGAGAAATATGACCAAAATAAACCAAAATGAGAAATATGAGAAACTTAGCAGTCAAAGCAGTTTTGATTCCATTTTTATTTTTCAGTTGACGTTTGTGGCTACAATTCTCTTGGCACTCTAGTCATGCCTATTCACGAACAATTACATTTTTGATATTTTTACGAAAGCGAGCACAGAGAAATTACATCCTAGAAGGGTAGAGAGCGAAGCTGAGGTGCGTAGTTGTCCAATATGTAAGTACACGAACAGAAAGGCTTTGGTTTGAGATAAAAGTTTCAGTTCCCAATTATTACATCATCAGCGCTGCGCAGGCCATGCAAAATTGAATGATCTAGAAATGATGCAATCGAGAGAAGTTATTACGATTTTTAAAACAGAGAGGGAGAATTAGAGTTTTACTGTTTAAATTATAATTTTGATTTACATATTTTTTTAACTTGCATATATATAAAATATATATAAATAATGAATATGATAATTTAGCTTAACACAAAATAAGTAAACTGTTAATCACAAATATATTCTATATTTGATATGTGATTTTGATATACACCAAAGAGCCATTACATTATGACTACCCTCCATCTATAAAACAATGGGCTTGCCCGGGAAAAAAACCACTGCGCCTGCCTTTCCTATGCAACTGGAGGCTGAAGCATGTCTCTGCACTGACGGTACGCCACTGCCAGTCGTGTCTACAATGGGTCAAGAAACATCGGAACTGGACATTAGAAGAATGGAAGAAAGTTGCATAGTCCGACGAATCACGTTTTCTGGTCCATCACATCAACAAGTGTGTGCTAATACACCAATTTCCAAACAAAACCCTAGCTCCCGGATGCACAGTTGGGCAGAGACAAGCTGGTGGCAGGGGTATTATGGTGTGGACAATGTTTTCATGGAGCAGATTAGGATCCATAATCCCCATAAAACAATCCCTGAGGTTTGGGCGCTACATGAACATCTTGGCAGACCAGGTTCACCCATTATGACAACAGTATTTCGATGGGGAATGGGATAAGATAATGCACAATGTCATGAAGGTCGAATTGTCAGGGAGTGGTTTGAGGAACATTCCAGTGACTTTCAAGTCATGTCTTGGCCTCCAAATTCATCTGACATTCATCCAATGGGGTATTTGTAGTCCCACCTGGAAAATCAAATTCACGCTGTCACTCTACCCCCTCGCAACATGGAGGAATTCCAGGACCAGTAGGTGAGTGCTTGGTACCAAATACAGTAGAAGTCCAGAAATCCGCAAAGCTTGGGACCAGAGGTTGTGCGAATTTTAGGATTTTGCGGATTTCAAGACAGAAAAGATAAATCATAATATTCAGATTAAAAGTGCAAAATAAATAAGGCGTATTAGATACATTTAATTAAATTTATTACATATATTATTGCAATAACTTATTATATGCATTAAATTATTATTACATATGTAAATTGATTATATTATTCATTGTATTATATATACACAGCATTGAGGTTTGCTGATTTCGCTTCATGCAAAGATTTCCGGTTTCGGTTTCCGGTGTTAGAATCACTGTTGCTGTAAAACTTCAACAGCTTTTCTTTATTTTTCCATATATCATACACAATCGTATTGCGATTCCATACGTTTCTGCTATAAAATGCACCTGTCACCACCTTTTTCAGAATTAGCACTTTTTGCATTACCGTCAACGCAACGTGTTTACGGTTTTCAGCGTTGCAAGCAGTAAAATCATGAGTGCATTTCTTATCTGTAATTGTATTAAAAAGGGCTGAAATTTAAAATATTCTTAATTTATCCACAAAATATCTGGATAACGAAAAAGGCAGCACTAAATAATCTCGTGAAATAACAAAGCTCAGAAAATACAACAGCGTGAATCGTGAACTTGAAAGAAGAGTTGAGTGAATCGTCTGCTTTCTTACCTTGATGCAGATTAGAGGGGAAAAAACTTGATGATCATGATGTCAATAATTTGGTATTTCCATTATGATTCATTATTATTTGGTAATTATGACGTTATTATTCGGTAACTATTTTTTCTTTGATATTTCGTGCTTCCTGTTGCGGTTTCTGGAACTTATAAACTGAATGTTTATATTTTGAGAGGCAATGCGGATTTTAGGTCGGCGGATTTTCGGTATTTGACTGTACCTCTGATTGCGCATTAGTACCTTTAATGCCACGCTGATTGTTGGCAGTTTTGAGGTGGTCCTACATGTTATTAACAGGGTGGTCATAATGTAATGGCTCTTCAGTGTATGTATATATAATAATCAAATAATTGGCATTTTTATAAGAATTACAGTAAATGACATTTTTGATAGAAGTATTTACATTTTATTTATTTGATTATTATGTCTAATTAAATCATTACGGCTTAGGTGCACGTTTCCTAAATAGTTCTACTTTTCTTTTATATATATATAGAACTGTGACTGTAACTCAGATAATGCTACAGCACCATCTAAATGAGTGCGCAGAGATGAGAGGTTAACGATGGTGAGTGCAGACATATGAGGGTGTAACGATTGTTATTTTTACTTTTCTTTTCATTCTAATTTATATAAATAAAATCTAGTTTAGCAATAATGTGATGAGTTGTAGTGGTGATTATATGCTTATTCACAATGTCTTTCCTACACATACACACACACATATATACAGTCAAAAGTCGTTAATCCGGACTCGTCGGGACTTCGGCGATTCCGGATTATAGATCATCAGTTTAAATCTGGTAAGATGGCATGCAGAAATTATAAAATTAAAAATATGAAACCGTAATTTATGAAATAAAGAACAATTATGATATAAAGGGTATCAAAATTTACAAAAAAAAAAAAAAAAAAAAAAAAAAAAAAAAAAAAAAGAGCTTAATACTTATTTGTTTATTTTATTAAACATTTCTTTCAATGTAAGTTGTATAAGTTGCTTCATTTTTTATGTGATAATACATTCTCTTTAATTCTATAAACACACATAATTTCTTGTTCAGTTACAAAGTTCCGCTGTTCAAGTCCTATAATTGCTGTGTCGAGAATACCGACTAATTTGTCAATCGAAATTTTTTCGTTTTCAATAACCTCTGTCACTTTCTTCGCTATCGGAAGTGAATTATAATGATGAGGACTTTGATTTAAATCATATCAATGACGGAGGACATCGAGATGAAATACTACAATTAGTAAGAAATTAAAAAAAAAAAAAAAAATCTGACCTGGAGATAAGGATAGTGCTGACAGATCAACTTCCAATTCATTGCGCGCCAGGGCGTTAAAGATAAACAAAGTTTAGATAAACAAATGTTAAAGTTTAGATAAACAAAGAATATGCCTTTATCCATTTTTTTGCAGCAATTCCACTTTTTGTTTAATGGACTTCGAAACATACTTTCGCTTTGTAGATCCTTTACATATTAGTAAATATATATCAGAAATTCTATTTGACATAATCGAAAGTTCAAGCTTACTTTTATAAAATTGCTTTAACAGTCTGCAAAAAAAAAAAAAAAAAAGCCGAATCCAATTCGAAGATTAAGGAACAATGCAATCTGCAACATTAACTGAATTAGATAATTTTAGCTTAGCTTATATCATTTGTTATACATTAAATGCGCATTCATAAACGTACTTTGCGCATGCACACGCATATTCGCAGCCGTAAAGGTCTTACGCACATGCGTCAACGCGACGTATGCACAGAAGGTTTGTAGCTTTGAGGTCCGGATTATGGGTGTCCGAATTAACGACTTTTGACTGTATATATATATATACACACACACACACATACACATATAAATCAAATACTCACTTTTATAGAAAGCTGCAAATCAAGCGAACTTATACTAATATTCCGATGCCAGCAAACATGGATGGAGGTGTTAATATGATGAGTAATTGACTTCTCACTTTTCTGTACTGAATAGTCATCTGCATCATCACTAGATTCATATTTTTCTTCTAGAGCTTTGTATGTCTGACTAGATGAATTATGGATGCCATTCTGATGATTTTTAGCATTCTCAACCACTTTCTGCAAATCCCCAAGCCACTTTGTATACTCTCTTTCAGATGAGGCTGCTATAACCAGGTGTTTTTCAGCATTGCATAATGCCAAACAATAACTGACCCCAAATTTTGGCTCGGTCTTTTCAACTTTGAGACCAGATGTGGAGAGTTGGCCTTGCACTTTGAATCTCAACTGTCCATTATGAACTCGTGTAGTATACAGTAGGATATCAGAAAACTATTTGAGGAAGAAAGGAAAAATTATGACTATCAGTATTTACAAGTTTATAATGAGGGAAAATTATTCATTCCATATTTTATAAATGATTACCGTATTTGACGGCATATAAGACGCACTTTTTTTCCTAAATTTGGTCTAAAAATGTTCGAAATGTAGCGGACTTCATGCTTTATATAAATGCGTTAAAGTTAAGAATTTGGATGTTAGTGCTAGAAAGACCTTAGTGAGAAAACAAGGATTGTGTTTTTTATGTTTAAATTCACATCTAATGAAAAACTGTAATTCACAGTTAAAGTGTAATTTGTGTAATTGAAAAATGCATAATAGTTTGTTGCATGAAGATGTTAAAGCTAAAAACGTACAGCTTTTAACAGCGCCAAATGAAAACGAAAGCACTCCAGAGAGAATTACGAATGAATCATGCGAGGGTCAAGGTCAGGTAGTTATCAGTAATACGATTCAAAATTGCACTTCGGCGATTTTGCCTACGGTTCTCGCACTCACATTTTCGTCCAGTGGCGAAACTATCGAAATTAAATTATTACTGGATTCCGGAAGAGAAAGTTCGTTTATTTCTGAACGAGCTGGTCGAAGATTAGGATTAAAAAGAACGAATCAAAGTTTACATTTGCGTGCAATTGGCGGAATGCCAGCTTCCAAGACTCGTGCTCTATTAGTGGTTTAATGATTAAATCAAGGGTAAATAATGAAATGATTGATGTTAACGCATACATTTTGGATAGGTTAACTTTGACATTGTCGGAAAAAGTCATTAATGTAAAGCATATAGAATACATTAAATCTATTCCATTAGCGGATCCGAATTTTGCTCAACCCAAAGAAATTGATTTGATTTTAGGAGCTGATTATTTTTTCTCTGTTTTAAGATGTGGCCAAATATATGGTTAGAAAAATGAGCCTGTAGCTCAAAATACAATTTTCGGTTGGGTGATTGCTGGGAAAGTCGGAAATAATATGGAAGGCCCAAAAACAGCAAATTCAAACTTCATAAAGCTAGAAGATAATTTAAATATTGATTACGAACTTAAGCATTTCTGGGAAATGGAGGATATTGTCGATGTTGGGAAGAAGGAATTTCTGACACCTGAGGAACAATTTTGTGAATCACATTTTCAAAACACTCATGCTGTTAATTCAGATGGGTGATTTATTGTAAAACTTCCATTTTATAAATCGCATTTGAAGTTGGGCGATTCAAAACCAGCAGCAATTTCTAGGTTGCGTTCCATGGAACGAAAATTCAAAGATAATCTGGAATTTGAAAAACAATATAAAGATTTTATACATGAATAGGAACAGTTAGGACATATGACTGTGATCAATGATGATTTATCTAACAGAAAAGTTTTATCTTCCTCATCATGCGGTCATTAAACCTTCTAGCACAACGACAAAATTAAGAGTAGTTTTTGATGCATCCTGTAAATCTGAAAACGGTATATCATTGAATTCTCTTTTAGGGGTAGGTCCGAAATTACAAAGAGATATTTTTGAGATTTTGATTAATTTTCGATTTCCCAAAATTGTTTTCACAGCCGATGTGGAGAAGATATATTGTCAGGTGATGGCAACCCCTGAAGATCAGAATTATCAATTGATACTTTGGCAATACACTTCTAGTGATGAAATGCGCACGTACATGTTGAAAACAGTTACATGTGGTCTTTCCTCTGCTTTATTTTTAGCAACTCAAGGTCTGAAGCAGGTAGCTTTAGCTTCTAAAGAGGAATCAGATGTATCTCGTATATTGCAAGAGCATATGTATATGGATGACTTATTGTTGGGTTCAAATATAGTTAATGATGCAGTATCTGTCTGCAAGAAAATATCTTCATTTTACATGCACGTGGTTTTGATTTGAGGAAGTGGAATTCAAATTCTGTAGAATTCTTAACTGAATTTAATGAACATTGTTCGTTGAATTCTGATTTCGAGATATCTCCTAATTCGAGTTCGAAAGTCTTAGGACTTTTTTGGAATTCGACTACTGATACATTCAGTTTTAAAGCTACACTGCACATCAACGCATCTATAACAAAGAGATGCATATTGGCAGAATCTACTCGCATTTTCAATCCTTTAGGTCTCCTATCTCCTTGCACTGTATTGATTAAAATATTCTATTAAAAGCTATGGTTAGTTAAAGGCGACTGGGATTCAGTTGTTCCCCAGCATATCTCAGATAATTGGTTTAAATTTCAAGAGACATTCAATAAAATCAATAATTGTGAAATTCTGAGATGTGTCATGCTTACAACGGACAGTGTTATCCAACTACAAGGATTTTGTGATGCATCTTCGCAGGCCTATGCAGCAGCCATTTACTGTCGTCAAAAATGCAATGGTACGGTTAAGGTTAATCTTTTGGTATCAAAGACTAAAGTCGCGCCTATAAAGTAAGTATCCATTCCGCGATTAGAACTTTGTGCTGCGTATTTGTTGAACAGATTAATACGATCTCTTTTGAACATTTTAAACAAGCTTAATTTTGAAATCTATGCATGGACGGCTTCCAAGGTAGTTCTGTCTTGGCTATCCGCTCATCCACGAGTAGCAGAAAAGTTCATTATTTGTTGGATTCAGGATCATTATTTCAAAAATGATTTGCAATGTATTAAGGAAGATAAACCTCTCTGTATCCATTCGTAGATAAAGATGGTCTCTTACGGGTGGGAGGACGTCTTCGAAATTCATCTTTAGCATTTAACATCAAACACCCTGTCATACTTCCTTCTCGACATAAATTTAGTGAATTACTAGTGAAAGAACTTCATATTTCTTACCTTCATGCTGGTTTTTCTTTATTATCACACCTCGTCAGGCAATCTTACTGGATAATTGGAGGAAAGTGACTGATACGCAGTTGTGTCAACCACTGCTTAATATGTCATCGATTTAAAGCTGCTTCAAATCCGCAATTGATGGGTGACTTACCTGAACATTGTGTGACTTTGGAACGACCTTTTTTCGCATTTGGTGTGGATTACGCTTGTCCTATTACCATGAAATTTAATAAGGGTCGTGGTTCTAAAACAACAAAAGGCTATATAGCTCTGTTTGTTTGCTTGTCAACTAAAGCTGTGCATATAGAAGCAGTCAGTGACCTGACGGCAGACTCGTTTATCGCGGCACTTAGATGTTTCATTTCCCATCGCGGTGCACCACAGCACATTTACAGCGACAACGGTACCAATTTTGTGGGAGCATGCTGAAAACTACAAGAACTAAATCAGATTTGGTCTTCCTTGTATGCAACAGAATCGGTTTCCCAAGAACTAACTAAGTCATCTATTGAATGACATTTTATACCGCCTGCTTCGCTCCACTTCGGAGGAATATGGGAAGCCGGCATTCGCTCAGCGAAATTTCATCTGAGAAGAGTATTGAAAGAGACTCTTTTAACCTACGAAGAGTTGTCAACGCTACTTACCCAGATCGAGGCTATTTTGAATTCATGTCCACTTACTTACGTGAACGATTCTGGTATTGACTCTATTAATGTTTTAACCCCTTCTCATTTTACTACAGGTGATACGTTGACTTCCTTTCCAGAGACACGTCAGTCTGTTCGCACAAGGAGTTCAAGGTGGGAACTTGTACAGAATCTACGTCGCAGATTTTAGAATCAATGGAAAGGGGAATATTTGACTTCTCTTCAGCAGAGATCCAAGTGGCAGCACACTAAACCCAACTTAAAGGTCGACATGGTGGTTCTTGTCATTGAAGATGGATCTCCACCTTTAGCGTGGCCTATAGGGCGGATCATCGATGTCCATCCAGGCAAGAACGGCTTAGTTCACGTAGCTACAGTCAAAACTAAAACTGGTGTCTTCAAAAGACCAATTAATAAACTTTCACCTTTGCTTGTGTAATCAGGACTAAACCTGATAGGGTGGGAAGTATGTTTCACTTCCAACGCCTATTCGAATTAATTTCCACCTTTTCATTGCCCTGCGTTGGCAACATGCTTTTTGAGATTTGTCGTCGAAAGAATTCGGTCGCTAAAAGCGTAGCTGGTCCTGTAACGGTTGTAATTCTTATTTTTTTATGCTTATCTGTACTGTTGAATTATTACTAAATGTTTACGTATGAATGTTTTATTATTAAATGTATTCAGTTTGGTTTAAATAGACAAAGAGTCATTGAATTTATTAAGGATATTTAAAGTCGAAACTGCGTCATCCATTTCAGCGCCATTCTAACACAGGAACGTAAAGAATATCAATATAGAAAACATAATAGTAGTTGAAAGTTCTGAAACTTATTAAAAATTTAAACAATGCAAGATTTCTTCATTATTTAAGCTCAAGAAAAGCCGGTTCACTTACTTGTGACGCCCAGATAGGAAAGCAGTTAGAGATTCTAACTGCCATACTGAAGGGTCTGAGTTCGAATCCAAAGAATGCATTAATGTAATTTGTCCATCCCTTCATAAAAGGCATCATTGGTCCACCATAATAAAGAGACCACCACTTCCTAGTAGTGGCCAACATCTATCTTAGTAGTGGTCAACATCTATAAACAGCTAGAGCCCACCACTTGAGAGGAACTTGTGCTTTTGATGCATCCTTCTCTAAATCATATTTTACAAATATGGCTACTTTGTATGGCTATTTTAAATGGTAATGAATGAAAGCTAAGAACCACATTATGGACAAATTCAAGAGCCTAGAATTCTAGATATTCCTTTTCAACATTATTCTAGGTGTAACTTTTCCTTAGCCATTTGGATTTATTTTACTGCTTCAGGCAACAAAAGTAGCAAGTAAAAACCAAGGACAACAAAAGAATTTACCTTTCATCTCATTAATTTATGAAATAAGGGTGAGAATGCAATTAATATTTGATTATATTAAATATTAAATGTTTACTAAATATTGGAAAAAAAGGACACTGGAGACAAAAGAAAATGCCAAAATAATCACAATAAAAACAAACAAACAAACAAAAAAAATGATTTTTGAATGCACCATATCAGGAGGAAGAAGAATATGCAGCAACCAGACAAATGACAAACATCTATTAACCATACTTATTGCTTTAATATAGAGATATATTTTTTAGAACTTGTAAAAAAGTGTTTAACGTATATACTGTTTAGAGTTATACCTATTTCATGACAATGCCAATAAAAAATACACTCAAGAATTTCTCAGAATTCTGTTAAAATAATACTAAACTACAGTTAACTGTATCAATCCAAAATACATAAAGAAAGCAGATATAAATTAAGTGAAACCGCTTTCAATATCTGAGACAAAGTTTTTTAAATTAAATAATTAAATGTAAAAAATAAACATTTAATACCCTATCTTTTTAATCAATAAATGTTTCTTTAATTAAACATAAGGAATTCATCTTACGATTTACTGCAAATATAATGTTAGTAATAACCTTTTAAAGTTTCTTTTGCATTTTTGATCAAAATAATGTAGTAAAAAACAAGTAAAATCTAAACTTGAATAACAACAAAAGAAAAATAAATATATTCAAATAAAACTATGGAAGAGATATAAAAATTAAATTTTTATCTTATCAAAAATATATGCTAATAAATATAGCTGATAAATAATGAATTCTGTCTTACAAGAAAGAACATATGCTGATGACTGCCATTTCTTGAAAATTTAAGCAAACAACCTTCTCGCATGAAATCCTAAAAATAACCATACAAACGAAAGATGAAAATGTACAGAAAGGAACCATACAACTGTTTATACTCTTTCAATAATTGCAACAATTATGCTAAGTCTTACCCTGTTTTTGTCCAGTAAATTAGGGAACCCAATCAAACTGCGCTGCAGTTCCATAAGTTTTGTACAATTGACCTGAAACACCGCATAATGACAATAAATAATACATAATTCAAAAAGTTAAGGCAAATGTATACTGTTATTTAATCACTGAAAAACATAAAGATAATTATTTAGCATAAAGATTTTAGAATTAAGAGAAAAATCATTTTTATAAGATTAATTTTAAGATTATTATAATAACATTACAGAGAGATAAAAATGCTTAATATAAAAAGTAATGCTCAAGTAATCTTTATTTTAATTTTTATGAAATCAACAGTAAAACTTGTAATATACATGAAATATGCAAAGTACAAATTATATATTTTTACAAACTTTATTTATTTATTCATTTATTTAAATTTTAACAGAACTTACCAATGATGGTAATTGATCCTCAGCATTTGCACATGCAGTCTCTAATGCTTCTAATACATCTATTTAGACCATGAAAATAAAATATATATATATATATATATATATATGCTTTTACTTTAATATTAATAAAAAGACATGCAACTGAGATTCAATCAACATGAGTAAACATACTTAGAAGTTATGCTTAAAATGAGCAAAAAACTATAATGGTTTTAATTTATAATAAACTAGTTTTCAAACTAAAAAATTTCACTATAATTAATTTTAATAGAAAAACTACTCTCTCTATTTCAGTTTCATACCAAGTTATTATAATACAAGCAGTGAAAATCTCTTTAATCTTAGTGATCTGCAAGTTAAAAAATTAAATAAACTGAAGGAATTTAAAAATGCATTTATGTATATTGTACTGCTAGAAAATAAATTAAGTATTGGAAAAAGTCTAAACACATAAATCATGTACAAGATTTTACATGATTTGATACAAAAACAATACATTACTGAAAATTTACAGAACTGAATTATATTTCCAAAATTCTAAACACAATAGAACTAGTAAATTATTTACAGTTTTATGATTATTTATGAAATTTATTATACACTATGTATCATTTCACAACTACACAAGTTTCAACATGGAATTAAAAATAACATTTCTAAATTCAAAGAAGAAAACAGATTTTATACAGAATTCATTGTAACATGAAATGTACAATACACCACGCCTTTAAGGTATAAATAGTACAATTTACACTAGCATAGAATCCTTATATGCTGTGGATAGTCAATTAACAAACCAATATCAACACAATAATCACTAGTGATCATTTTGTAAATTTTTGTAAATTCAAAAATAAGACCAAAAATAGCAAGGCCAAGTTAATAGTAAAGCATCCAAAACTTACATATTATTAAAGACATAATTTTTATTGCCAAAACTACAAATAAACTATAAATAAAAACCATAAACAAGATTTTAATTCTGAAACCCAATTACAAATTTTCATCCCCCAACAATGCAATCATAATTCCTTTCGTGAAAAACAAAACAGCCTACTTACTTAGAACAGAAGCAAATTAGTTTGAATTGATGAAAATTTATTTTTAAATATAGTTTTAAACACATTTTACTGCATATTATTCTGCCTCCTAAACAACTCAGTTTTCAAAGTAAGAAGGAAAAAAAAAAAAAAAAAAAAAAAATTGTCTACCAGTTGTTAAGAATAACAGATACCAATGATGAAGGACAAACAGCAGAGCACTGAAAATCCACTGATCTAAACTGCCTCTCTTTGTGCAATATAGTGAAATTCACAGCTGGAAAACTACAGAGTTTTCAGTATAAAATGATGAAATAAATAGCAAATGATATCACAATGGGGGGGGGGAATCAATCAAAGAAGTCACATTTATGCTGCTGATAAAAAAGAGGGGTGGGAAGTGCTGAAGTATAGAAACTTAGCTACTCAAAACAGAACATTCCCTGATTCTGTGATAAAACATTTTTTTTTTTTTTTAATTCAGCAAGACTATGCTAGTTAAATTAATTCTTAAAATAATTAGAAATAAGAATAGTATATATTTATCACATCAGAATGATACATTCTAAAGGAACTCACAATTTTCTTATAAGAAATAAAAAAAGGAATATATATATAATTACAGAACAATTTTTTTAACAACAAAATATAAATATGCCTAGTATTTTTGTGCATTAAGCTGCTGAAAAAATATCAGTGAAGACATAGAGTAAGAAATTTAGAACTAATTTTTCACAAAGACTGAAAATTGAAATTCATAAGTAATAAATTTCAAATGATCCTATAAATGCTACAAATAATTTAGAAAATGTTAAAACCAAAACTTTTCAAAGCTTGTAATGTTGAAAACCGTAAACACGTTGCATTGATGGTAATGCAAAAAGTGCAAAGATGGAGACAGGTGCATTTTATAGCAGAATTATATGGAATCGCAATACGATTGTATATGATATACGGAAAAATAAAGAAAAGCTGTTGAAATTTTACAGCAACAGTGATTCTAACACCGGAATCCGAAACCGGAAATCTCTGCATGACGCGAAATCGGCAAACTTCGATGTTATGTGTATATATAATACAATGAATAATATAATCAATTTATATATCTAATAATAATTTAATAGATATAATAAGTTATTGAAATAATGTATATAATAATTTAATTAAATGTATCTGATATGCCTTATTTATTTTGCACTTTTAGTCTGAATATTAAGATTTATTTTTTCTGTCTTGAAATCTGCAAAATCCTAAAATCCGCACAACCTCTGGTCCCAAGCTTTGTGGATTTCTGAACTTCTACTGTATATATAAAGTTTATGAGGTATATAAAAACAATGGTAAATGTTTCCACAAATCCTTGCATCAGAGAAAAATATTGGATATTGGCTTTTATAACTAGTTAACAGTAAGTATGAAGTAACAATCATGTGATGGTGTACCTATTTCAAAATCATTTCTTAGAGTAAAAGCAGAAGTTATATGCAGATTTAAGAAACAACTTCGTGATTTTTGTTCTGGTTTTTGCTCTGTAAAAGTTTAAAGAATGGCACAGCATATAACCTCATAAAAATGAAATAGAAGTTTCTCACTTGTTGAAGAAACTATAGAAGAATTTATACAGAAAATTTCAATGCTAGTGAGTGATCAAAATTAAATATAGAGCATATATGCAAGTGAGTGGTGGGAACTTAAATAAAGATTACGGACGAAACTAGCCTCTGATAGAAATACCTGATCAGAAAGACACATGTGATCAGCAAAGATATACATAATCAGGAATGAAAGAATGAAAAGAGAAAATCATAGTTCTATTCTGCAGAACACATTCACATACTAAACATAAAACATCATAAAAAATTATCTATGATTTATGAAAACAATTACTGGTTGTGTATTACAAAGGAATATATCATAAGTTATATGAATCCATTTATTAAAGAGGTATAACAGTGTTAGATTACCTGTGATTGATTATACCTGTGAAGATTTGCTACTAATGGACCATTCAGATATAATAGCTTTCCTTTTGACAATATCATGGCATAGCAATGATTAAGTCATTTTATGGATCAAGTAATAATGCACAGATTTAACTGATTTTAACTATAATTGAATATTATTCAATTAGGAGCATGTTTTTAACTCAATTGGTCAAGGCTTTAATGCTCCTAAGATAATAGGTTCTGTCCTTACACTCAGCAGATCACCACTAAGCACTGACACCATCTGTTGCCTAAGAGCATCAACAATTTTAAAAGGGTTAGGGAAAATGGCAACCTTTTCTATCTAAACATAGTATCACAAGATAAATAAACACAGCAACAGCACCATCCCATCAGTTTCAAGGAAAAAAAAAAAAAAAAACATTATGAATGGGATGATAAGTTCAAATAAAGAACTTCTACATCAAATGACAGATAAAATAGTTGACAGTGTTTTAAATCTAGGACAAAAAAAAATTACAATCCTGAGAATACTGTAACAATAATGTAAAAAATACTTCCAAAAAAAGGGAGTGCATGCCTGGCTGCTGTAGAAATCATCAAGAAATAATGACTTTGCACAATCTGCAAAGTCTACACGAGAGGAGATTTAGAACATTTTCAAGCTTTAAAACAAATTATTTTTATACGCTTCTTGTTTTTTTCTCTCTCTCCATAGATATAATATATGTATATATATATAATCTACACAACCTCTGGTTCCATACTCTGATCTTCTATTGTAAAGTTCTAACAGAAGCACTTTTAGTTATTGCCAAAGCTTTCAAAACAGCATGGGATCAAATTTCATTTTATAAATCAATCAAATTTAACTTTTGAAAGTTCATCATTAAATTAATTACATTTTTTTTCTTTCGATAAACAATTTAATGGTTATTCCATCAGAAAAAAAAAAAAAAAAAAAAAGAGAGCATTATTTTATTTAGCCTGGTCTTCACAGTTACTAATTAACTGTTCAGATAGTCTTCACAACAAAAAAATTCTGCTTACTTTCTGATGAAACAGCAATTCTTAAGTGATAATATAAACATTGTCAAAAACCAATGGGAAAATTGGTGTAAATACCTAGAAATCAACATCTGCAAAATATTTTAAGGAGTGTATAACCAGAAAAATAAATAAATAAATTCAGTCAGCCCAATGCTATTTGAAGAAGAAAATGAAACATCCTTTCTTAGCATAACTTTACATAGCAAACACACTTTTAGGCAGAGTTTTGAGAAATTTACTTAACAATTCAACTTCAGAATTTCCAACTGTGTGCTGCTATTAGAAAGAAGAAGCAAATCTGCACTAAAAAACAAGATAATCTTCTGTTAAATAATTTTAAGACCTCCATTATTACATACATCATTAACATAAGGATGCAAAGAAAACCAATCTTCACAACAGCCAGATAATTTAAAATAAAGCTTTTGGAGAAATAACCGATGTTCCTTGGTTCATAAAAAAAGTGTAATACAGACCAAGATCTTAAAATCTGTGTTCTACATTCCTGATACTGATAAATGCAATAGTATTTATGCTATAGTAATAATGCTACGGTTAATGGTATAAAATTGCAGAAAAATATGAAAGCACACTTATTGTATAAAATGGCATGACCTCTTTCTGGTGGAAAAATATCCCTATGCTGCTAATTCTTTATTATTAAAAAATATAAATAATTTAATAGTGATGCTTAATAATTTGATACTGTAATTTAATATTCCAATAATATACATTTAAGAGACAGTACACTGCATTTTTTATTTTAAAGATGAATTTCAGGGACAGATGGTGAGACTATACAGTTGTGTTTTAATATACTACAAATTAAATATACTGCTATATTAAATGAAGTAAAAGAGGAATATGAAATTAAAATTTAAAACCTGTGCTAAAGAATATTAGCCATTTTGGAAATCTTATTAACTAAGTAAACTATATTTTAACATGATATGCAAACATAATAAGAATGCATGAAATTTTCATCCATTCAGACATGCAATTAAATAAACAAATTTTTTAACAATGAAATTATCATATATTTAAGAAGCATAAATATAATTTTACAAACGAAATAGGAGAATCACAAAAAATATTACAACCAATTTTCAGGATGGGCAACTCAATTTTACAAAATTAAAAACCTTTTTTTTAGATTTCTTAAATCATCCTAAACTGAAATGCAAAAGGAATTTATAAAACAACAGTTTTTCACATATAACACAAACTGATGTGAATCAAAATATCAGTACTGTTTCATTTATTATTAATCTCAAATTTAACATAAAATAAAATAATAAAAAATTCAAATCTTTTTACCTATACAATTAGCATAATCTATGTGATGCATATCATAGCAGCTTAATAAACCTACAAATAAATGATGAATGAAATCAAAAACTAAATAACAAAATTAAAACAGAAACATGATTTATTTATGACAGATAACATATTTTGATAACATTAATTTAACATATTTTATGCAGAAACAACTTTAAGAAAGAAATTATAAAACACATTTTTATAAGAATTGTTTTAATAATTTACCTCAGAAAATTATAAATGCATGCATATGCTAAGAAATTATTAAATAGTATTGCTTAAATGTAATTTAGTAAAAATACTGCAAGGGTTTTTGAGAAAATATTTAGTCTCAAGATTTAACATATTCCTAAGGTGCCAAACAAAATTATATTTATGAACATAATTTTGTACTGTGCAACAAAATATACTTCTTCAAAAAAATTATAGAGAAATAAAAACAGAAATATCCCAGTATGAGATATACAAACCAAAAGAATAAACCATGGAAAGGTTGAAAAATACTAATGCTTAGCTATATTAATTAATTTTAGCAAGTACTGAATATTAATCTATCAAACAAAGTTCATTAATTTTGACACAGTATTCAACTACTATCTGCCTTGGAAGATGTCTCAAAATATTCCTTATATCAATACCACATATTAAAAAGCAATGAAAAGAGCAATATAATCATTTCATTCCATTTAAATTAAAGCCCAGATGAAACCATCAATATTCTGCAGCTTTAGCCATTTGACTACTGATTCTAGACTAACACATAATAGTGTAAAAACTTTCAAGACAGTTGCCCAACATTAAAACAAAATCTTATGATAGGTCATTTAAATGCAAGCAACAATTAATTTCTTCTCTTTTTATTAATTTACCAAGCAAAGAATGAAAAAAAAATTATGCCACCATCATGCAAAACTGTCACCTCACTTTAAATTTATTTATCATTACCTCATTTACTAACAATGAAGGCAATGTTATGCAAAACTGAGGATTTGCATAATAGTGGTGGCACTGCTGTGCAAATTACAGTCCAATAAAAATAAAAGACATTGTGAGTTATTTTTTAGGATTTTTAATTTTATATCCTTTTATGAATGTACCAGAAAACTCAGTTTATTAAATTACTTTAGAATATGCATTTTATTTAATATTTTAGATATTTAAGAAGTACATGAGAATTTATAAATTACATTCAAAGCTATTACATTAATTTATTGCTGCCAATATTGATAACAAAATATATAAATTGATTTTATTTATGTTCCACAAGTAGAAAAAAATTGTATATATAATCATTTTACCATTGAAATTTGTACAATTCCGTACTTGTAGTTATATGCATAGTAAGTACGGTTTTGATAAAATTTAAATTTTATAATTTTGCAATTTGCAATGCAAGATAAATGTTGACTGTTTAAATAATAATATGTAAACACAGTAAATAAATACTGTTGCGCGCATACAGGTTTTCTTGGAACTGATTTGATGGCCCCCCTTCCAACTTTTCTTGGCCCACTTTCATATTTTTTTTAATGGTCTTAACAGTCCCTCCCTCCTTCTTGGGCTACTTTAATCTCTTCTTTGAATGCAGCACAGGCTGCAATGAGCTGTTTTAGTTGCTCCTCCAACGCTCTTGTTACTGGCATTCAATTTCAGTTCTGGCACCAAAAATTGTTGTATGGACTCATGGGTTCGTAATACACCGAATGCAGATAGAACTCATGATATCTTCATAAAATATATTTTACCAGAAGAAATATGTCACAGTTCTGAAATTTTCCACAAAAGTACTCGTACAGCTCTTCACTGCATCACAGAACAAAATCAGTAAATAGACTTCAACCTAATAAGAACGCACAACGCAATACAGAGCACATCTAAATGTGATCTAAACGTGATCAAATTCAGATCTGAACTAACAACTACTACTCCGAAACTGATGGTCTCTTTGTTCTTATATTGTTTTACCCCAGCCACAAAGAAAGCTCTAGTATTTCTTGAAATTACTGAAAAGCATATGAGGGCTGGATAAATTTACAGTTACATATGAAATCAATTACGGTTATTAAATTAAAATGCACATTACAGTTATACAGGGACTGGATCTAAATGTCTCTAAGTCTGACGACTTTTGGCGATTTCTTGCCAAATTTGGTGACAGGCATTGAAAGATTGTCACCACTTTTGTCAGCCCTTGCATTACTGCATAAGTGCTCTTAAACTCTACACAAAGCCTTTATTATTCCGAAGTGGCCTCCTGTTGGGCTGCTATGTATATCTTTAAGGATGTCCAAGATCTTGGAAGTATCAGCTGCCAACAGAATACCTTTCCATCATCTGATTTGAATTTCTGGTACACGATGGTGTTTTGAATATGAAGTGAGTCCCACAGAACCCAATATTGCTTCATCTTAACACTACAGTTACAAATGTCCTGCCAAGTAGGTTTCCTGTTTGAGGATTTCATTATGTCAATCGCCATTTTACAAATAGTCTTTCCTGACTTCTTAGTCACTCCATGGGTCTCGGTCAGACAATGTTGAAGTTGTAATTTGATGTACAACTGGATTAACCAGCTTGTATAGCTTCGACCCTGCAAAAATAACGGCAGCTTTCTGGGCAGAGCAATGGCATTTCAGTGTGATGATCCTTTTCTATGACAGATAATTATGTCATTTTCCTGGAATTTTATGTATCCATCTGGCTATTTGGCCTTCACAGTTCGTGAAATTTTATGACCAAGCCAACAATGCATGATCTGTACACAGAAGAAATTTTCTGCCATAGAGGTAATGGTGGAAATGTTCCATGGCTATTTAACTATGAAAGCAACTTTTTTCTGGTGACACAGTAATTCCCCTTCCCTTTAGATAGACACTTGCTCAAGTATGCTTCGACATGTTCTTGACCATTTATCTCTTGGAACAAAACAGCATCGACACTCATTGCTTGTATCTGCATCAAGAATCAAGCTAAGCATACGTCAAGATTGAAGCAGATGTTAAAGCTTCCTTCAGTTTGTTAAATGCATCCTCCCATTCTATTGTAAACAAGAATTTTTGATTGCTCTCTATCAGTTTGTGGAGGGGGTCTTGCGATGAAAGAAAAAAAAAAACCTTTACAATTTCCTACAGTAGACAGGCTCTGGGAATCTTTTCAGCTGATGCCCATTTTCAGGGTGTCTCCAATTTTTAATTGCTGACTTTCTGGATCCATACATACAATTTCGACAGACATGCCATATCTAAGATGAGTTATTTCCTGTCTGAACAATTTACAACTGATGGGTCTTAACTGTAGATTGTCTTTCTTGAATTTCTGAAGCACATTTCTAATATTTTCTAAATGCTCTTCAAAGCTCTTCCTAATGACAATAATGTCATCTAGGTCTATCAGATAAACTCTGCATGAAAGACCTCTCAACATGGTTTTGATGAGGCCTTCAAATGTTGCCAGCACCTTAGCATCACCTTAAACTGCCAAATTCCTTGTCTATCGTTAAATCAAAAGTCGAAAACCACTTGCTTCCAGAAAAAGTGTTCAGAATGTCATCAGCTCTAGGAAGAGGATAGTTGTCTTTCTTTGTAACCTCGCTGAACTGGCAATAGTCAACACAAAATCTAGTTGAACCACCTTTCTTTTGCACAAGGACAATAGGAAAGACCGAAGGGACTGGGGAAAGCTCGATAATGTCACTTTCTTCCACACTCCTTCTGAAGTATTCCTAACTTTTCCTGTTTAGCAATCAGTAGTCACCTGGTATGTTGCTTGATTGGTGAAATAGCTCCCATATCAATTCTATGCTGTGTCAAACTGGTTCGAACTACGTCAGAAGATGAGCAGGAGAAAATAAATTGAAATTCTTGAATAACACGTTCTGCAGTTTTTCTCCCTTCATCACTTAGTTATGCATTCTGCAATAACTCCAATGCCAGGCTTTCCAAAAACACAAATACTGGAATGTTACTGTTTCATTTAATGTAGGTCACTCACATACATGCTGCAATCACTTCGGCTTTCCTGATGACTTTTGCCTTATCAGTTACATTAACAACTCTCACCTGTCCTCAACAGGTTGTTGAGTGCCAAGGCTACTAGTACTTCTTTTGGGCTGTTACAGTTCTTGGGATATTCCATGATGCCATACTGGAAATTTCTATTTTCAATTATGCATCCAGGAAGTAAAGTTTCAGTTGCTGCTGGTACTGTGATACCATCTAGAGCTATTATTCAGTGAACAGATTTAACTCCTTCATCTTTAATCCCAAAGAGGGTTATGTCCTTAGAGGCAGAATGTAGTTATTTATTTTTAAAGTCGAAGCATATGTTACATTTCCTTAGAAAGCCTAATCCGAGTATTCGAGGTATATGCTACATATGCCATGTGATGGTAGGTGGAAATCCCAAATGTGATGTAAACATTTAACTTTCCATTAATTTCGATTTTATCACTGGACACTGTCTGAAGCGCAATGCAGGGTGGCATCCAGATGAGTTTACCTTCCAACTATTCTGCTAAATCTTTCCAGATGATGATAACACTGGCTCCAGTATTGATGGTCATACTGCAAGGAACTCAAATGATACGCCCCATGATGAAAAGTCCATACTGCTGCCACTCACAGCGGATATCTTTAATTACTTTAAAATGGGGCTACTCATTATCTGGCAACCTTTGCCCCATGAGATGACCACTAATTTAGTTTTTCTCCTTTTGGCTGAGAGTGGTCTTAGCTACAGAACCTCGGGGTGTTCTGCACTTCCTTCATATGCAGCCGTCATCACTGCAGTTCAAGCACTTTAGGGTAGGTATCTTATCACTTTTTATTCTATTTCAAGGCATTTACTTGATTAGTTAAATTGTCTAGACAAGTAGTCAGTTGGTCCCCTGGCTCTTGGACATGAGCAGCTCTGACTGGGTGACGGTCTCTATGAATTGCTTGTTGGGCTATCTCGAATTTCATGGTGTAGACTAAAGCCCTTTTTAAATCCTTGACACCTGCCATTTGAAGGCTTTTCTGTATCTAAGAATGCTAGATGGCATTGATGAAGTACTGTAGATACAGGATTTCCTTTGTTTCTGTTGGGCAGTCCGAAAAGGTGAGATGAGACATTCTTTCAACATCTGTGGCAAGCTCCTGAGTGTTTCCATGGGCTTCTGTTGGTTGGGAACCACTATAGAGACTGGGTCATATACTTGCCAGCAGATCTTTCCATCATAAGTAGACAGGTTTAGAGAGGGCCAAGAAGCATGGGTAAAAATTTAAAAATGGTCAGAATTGCTTCCTGCTATTGCTATCAATTTATTTAAGTTATTAACTTCTTTGGCAATAGCAGAAAGTCTGTAATCAATTTTTTGTTCAATAACAGAAGAATTTGTTGTCAATAACAGAAGAAATTCTATCATCAATTTCTCTAACTTTATCTTCAACCATTTCTATTCTGCCTTCCATATCCTTGAATTTGTTCGTTTATAGAGGTAATTTTTTCTTTTCGTTTCCTCTTGACCTGCTTCAATCTTTTCTTGAACTGATTTGAAGGCCTGTTCCATCTTTTCTTAGCCTGCTTTCATCTCTTCTTTGAATGCAGAAAAGACTGCCATGACCAGTCTTAGTTATTCCTCCATTGCTCTTGTTACTGGCATTCAGTTCCAGTTCTGACACCAAAATCTAATATGTGTGCATGGTTCATAATATATTGAATGCACAGAGAATTGATGACAGCTTGATAAAATTCATTTTACTAAAAGAAAATTTTCACAGTTCTGGAATTTTCCACAAAATTACTCGTACAGCTCTTCACATTATCACAGAATAGAATCATTAATTACACTTCAAACTACCAAGAACATGAAACACAATGCAATACAAAGTGCTTTTAAAAGTTCAAGTTCTAGATATATCACGAGTTCACAGATATATCGCAATACTCTGAATTCAGACCTGAACAAACAACTACTACTACGAAACTGATGGTCTCTTCGATTATACATATTTTCCCCCAGCTGCCAAAGAAATCTATAGCACTTCTCAAATACTGGAGGGCACATGAGGGCTGGATATAGTTACAGTTAAACATGCAATCAATTACAATTATTCAATTACAATACCCATTACAGATCCAGCTTAGTGATCTTGTCAATTTAATGAGATAGCTATTTACTGAATGTTAATTAGATTTGCCCCTGTATTCTCATTTTTCTGGTACAGTTTTCCTTTTTTGTATTTCCATGCTACATTATTTAAAAAAAAAAGAAAAAAAAATCACATTTAATTTTTCTAAAATTATGCACAAAATTGACAAAAATTTTTGAAAATTTACAAATACATCTATTTTATTTTTATTTTACAGCTTTAAGCTGCATACTTTGAGATATTTGACAAGACAAAAAATGACATATTATTTCAAAAGTATACACAGACAGTCAGGGAGGAAAAAACAGCATGAAGGATAGATTAAAAACATCTAAAAATTAATTAATTGTACATGCATAACAAATTGTGCATGCTTCTTCATTTCTTGACATCCATTTTGTTTAAAACAGTTTATAACAAAATGCATATAAAAGTTTTAATAAATGACACTGAATCTTTAATGAAATAGCTAATGCATTAAAAACACATTTTATGCAAATAACTAGAGATATAAAGAAGAATAAAACATGTGAAGAGTAATAACATACATTTTAAAAGCATACTATAATAAGCCAAGCGGAAGGCAGGGCGAATGAAAAAATATGTCAAAGGCAAATAGCATATCTTGTGACTTTCAAATTGCTGGTAAATTTGTGACAATTGCTGATTGCAGGATAACTCCTTAAATATAAGCTCCAAAACTTCTGGCAATCTTTTTAAATATGTAGAATGCAACTAGAGGGAAAGAATACATAGTCATGTATAAATATCATGCACGCATAATATATGGAAAAGTAAAGATGAAAATTGGGGCCAAAAACTGTTTGCATAAATTGTTATGTTCTGCAACTTCATATTCAAAATCGCTCTATTAATATGAATACTTAAGAAGAGAAATAAATAAATGGGGGGATTCATTATATACTATATAATCGCTCTATTAATATGCCTACTTAAGAAAAGAAATAAATAAAATGGGGGGGATATCATTAAGAAAAAATATTAGTCAAGTTGCTTATAAATTTTGGAATTAAAATACTGTATTATGTTTAAACATAACGGCAAACTAATGAATTATATATATACACTTATTACTATCTCCATTTAGAAACATACCATATCTACCTATACCACATGTACCTATACCACACAAAAACACTACTTTTTTAGGTACTTTTGATTAAAGCCTTGGGTGCTTTTTTTTTGTTTGGCTATGTTTCTTCGGTGACAGATGTTGCGGATTTGGTTTGGCTCCTTTTCTGTCAAAAATTATCTTTATATCATTGCTTGCACGACATTCTTCATCTTATCAGTCTTTATTTAATCGCAATGCATTTCATGACTCAGGAATCCCCTAAAGATAAGGAGGCATCCTACATCTTCAAGAAAGAGATGTTGTTAACAAAGATTGCAAACCCTCTCATGAAACTAAAATGAGACTCGACGATAAAATGCAACTGATTCAGTTTTGCAAACTCAAATTGATAGATGCAATAAAATTGTTAAAACTGATAAAAACTTAATATATATATATATAAAGAGGGGGGCAATGTTCTTTCCAAACAACAGGTTTTTAAGATTTTTTTTTTTTTTTTTTTTTGTTTGTTTTTTGTGAATTTAGACAATGTTTTTTTTATTGTTACTGGTTGTTGTGCGTTGTCCAGTATCAAGCCAAAGGAAAGAAATACAGTATAAGTTGTGCAAATATAGAGCCTTAAATGCATGGAATGGCTTTATGCGAAAGCACCCATTTTTAAAAATAAACAATTTACATTCTTGACTGAATTTCATTTATCTAAAAAACATTCTTGGGTGGCTAACAGAAAATTAACTATTAAAATTAAATGTGTGTTAGCCTAATACAGGAAATTTTGCATATTTATACACCTGCAAGATATAACTATATAGTTAGGCTCGTCGGGACTTCGGCGATTCTGGATTATAGATCATCAGTTTAAATCTGGTAAGATGGCATGCAGAAATTATAAAATTAAAAATATGAAACCGTAATTTATGAAATAAAGAACAATTATGATCTAAAGGGTATCAAAATTTACAAAAAGAAAAAAGCTTAATATTTATTTGTTTACTTTATTAAACATTTCCTTCAATGTAAGTTGCTTCGTTTCATGTGATAATACTTTCTCTTTAATTCTATTAAACAGACATAATTTCTTGTTTAGTTACAAAGTTCCGCTGTTCAAGTCCTATAATTGCGGTGTTGAGAATAACGACTAATTTGTCAGTCGAAATTTTTTCGTTTTCGATAACCTCTGTGTCACTTTCTTCACTATTGGAAGCGAATTATAATGACGAGGAATTTGATTTAAATCATATCAAAGACGGAGTACATCAAGATGAAATACTACTTTAGTAAGGAATTATAAGCCAAATAAAATAAAAAAAAACATCCGCCCTGAAGATAAGGATAGTGCTGACAGATCAACTTCCAATTCATTGTGCGTCGCCGGTGTTCCCCCCCCCCCAGCCGCAGAGCAGGATGAAATTGATAAACAAATTTCGAAGTGGTTAGAGAAACAAAGGATATGCCTTTATCCATTTTTTGCAGCAATTCCACTTTTTGTTTGATGGACATTGAAACATATTTTCGCTTTGTAGATCCTTTGGGAGCTCCAGCATCGGAAATTCTATTTGACATAATCGAAAGTTCAAGCTTACTTTTATAAAATTGCTCTAACAGTCTGCAAAAAAATAATAAGCCGGATCCAATTCAAAGATTAAGGAACATCGCAATCTGCAAACTGAAATAGATAATTAGATAATTTAGCGCAGCTTGTACCGTCCGTTATACATTAAATACTCATGCGTAAACGTATTATGCACGTGCGCACGTGCTATGCGCAACCATAAAGGTCTTACGCACATGCGTCAACGCGAGGTAGCTTTGAGGTCTGGATTATAGATTATTCCGGATTATGGGTGTCCGAATTAACGACTTTTGACTGTATAGTTCATTGCTCAAAGCAATTGTGCATGTCTGTGTCTGATGGGTCTTTCAAATGCTTCATCATTTCAACCTCACTGTTCCTCACCTTTCCTAAAGGTTTTTCATGTTTACAAACATTCTAATCTTAATTTCTGGAAATAATAATAATTAAAAAAAAAAAAAAAAAAAAAAAAAAAAAGAACAGCAGGCTGGATAAGGGGAACAAACAATATCCAAATACACTGATTGAATTATGAGTTACGAATTCATAACATCTGCAACTGTTGCATGTATATACATTCTGCCCTATCTTATACGCATCTTCAGATAAGCAAATAGTAAGCTGCATTAAACTGCCCTTCTGGGATGAATTCATGAGGCTTAACTAATATCAGGAAAAAAAATTATTATGATTTTAATTCTGAATGGACTTCTTTCGAGATCATTTTGTTCATGCTTCCCCTTTCATCTTTCACTTTGTTCTGTGACTTCAGTGTCAAATCATGTATGAAAATGAAGACTTACTAACTGCAACTTAACACAATAATCCTGCTAATTGTTTTTGCTTATCTATCAAACATTTCAAAATGATCTCTCCAGTTTCCTTATTTACAATGTTGTGCCTAAAATGATGCAAATAATTAGTTTGCCTATATTTAAATCTCAAACAATCATTCTACTATACATCAATCATGTTGCAGACAAGCAATGTTTACTGTACAGAAGTTTAAAAATATTGCAGTTATTTTTTCTAAACATTTGCAAACTGCTATATGCTTGGGTAATTGTTATACTCATCCAAACATAGGGAAGTACAGTGCGTTTTGAGTTAATCATAAAACTGACAAGTTATATAGAGTAAAACTTGCCTTAACCAATGTTAGATAAAAATCTATTGCCTGTACTGCTTGCAATGCAATAACAATAAAAACAAGATATTGAAGTTAGGACTCTAAGGAACGCATTGTTACTTAACATGCTGCCATAAACCAAAATATTTATGATAAAAATACAAAGATTATTCATATGACATGATAAACTAATCATTTTATCTTAAGAGGTTTTACTGAGGAAGAGATATTTTTAAGCTGATACAAAATAATTTGTAGGCTACATACAATTTTAAGGTATTGTTCCGGTGCGCCGGAACAGAACAACTCAACCTGACTCATTAATTTCTGGAACTATGCCAAAGAACATTGAATTCAGTTGAATGGTCAGACTCAGATGAACGCATTCGCAAGGCAGCTGCAATGCTGTCTATTTTTCACTATTTTTGTTCTGTTCTCGTGCTTATAAGTGTTATATGTCATTTTCTTGTTTATACTTGTATTGTGCAATTATTTAATATAAGTTTTGTGTTTAAAACGAGGCAGTGTATTGAGTTCATTCACATTACATCGCAACAGGTATGAAAGTAAAAAATATAATAATAAGTTTATAGCAGGGAAAATTTAAGATGCAACAACTCTGCATGTTACTTTCATTTTGATGAAATCAGATGGACTCCATTATGAAGCAAATAAACCCCAAAGATAATAGTTGCAAAGTTCATGATTTTGATTGCCATTTATTCCACTAATATACACATATCACATCTTTGGTTCATTTTTTTGCTTAGTGGTATTACAGTACATGCAATAGCAATATGCACAAGAAATTGAATTTATACATAATATCTTTTTTTAATCATTCAGCAGAAAGTTAGATTTCTTCATAAACTCTTCAAAAACTGATGTTGAATGTTTTTAAAAATTTATTATCAGAAATGGTTTTTTTTCTATTTGATTAGCAATATGATTACCTGAAAAATTTATAGCTTCTGGTCTATACCTATATTAATTTATTTATGCTTTTTTTTTAAATTTTGAATTTTAATCTTCATTTTATTTTATCATATTTAATACTCCAATATTACACCTTGCAGAGAAATGCTCATTTTTTCACTTTTTTAGATATCTGCTACATGTAGACATGTAGGTACTTTTTGATCAATCATTTGTCAAGAAATGGCAGAATCTATTGGTTTTTTTAATTACTTTACCACTAAAGACCTGTTTATATTAAACTACCTATTTCTGGGTACAGTCAAAAGTCGTTAATCCGGACTCGTCGGGACTTCGGCGATTCTGGATTATCGATTTTTCCGGATTATAGATCATCAGTTTAAATCTGGTAAAATGGCATGCTGAAATTATAAAATTAAAAATATGAAACCGTAATTTACGAAATAAAGAAGAATTATGATCTAAAGGGTATCAAAATTTACAAAAAGCTTAATATTTATTTGTTTACTTTATTAAACATTTCTTTCAATGTAAGTTGTTTAAGTTGCTTCGTTTTTTATGTGATAATACATTCCCTTTAATTCTATAAACAGACATAATTTCTTGTTCAGTTACAAAGTTCTGCTGTTCAAGTCCTATAATTGCTGTGTCGAGAATACCGACTAATTTGTCAATTGAAATTTTTTCGTTTTCAATAACCTCTGTCACTTTCTTCGCTATTGGAAGCGAATTATAATGACGAGGCATTTGATTTAAAATCATATCAAAGACGGAGTACATCAAGATGAAATACTACATTGAGTAAGGAATTATAAGCCAAATAAAATAAAAACATCTGCCATTAAGATAAGGATAGTGCTGACAGATCAACTTCCAATTCATTGCACGCCGCCACAGCGTTAAAGACAAACAAAGTTTAGATAAACAAAGGATATACCTTTATTCATTTTTTGCAGCAATTCACCTTTTTGTTTAATGGACTCCGAAAGATACTTTCGCTT